CCATTTGGTTGGTTGCCAGTCAAGAACTAATTAAAACAATTGGTTTCCAATAGAACACGTATATATATATATATATATATATATATATATATATATATAAAAAACACTGGTTCCCAAGAGGATCCCAGTAGAAACTGATCAAAAACCATAAGTGTTCAATCGAACAACGAAGCCAAACCATTGGTTTTCAATAGAAAACAAATTTAAACATGTGGATTTCAATCGGAACCTTATAATTACTCACTGCGTGGAGCTCCCCATATGTGCATCTATTCGCATGGACCTGTCCGCCGCGAGTGTCTAGGCACAACAGCTTTCGAATATAAGCGGGTTTCACTTGTGGCGGTCTGGTCATGAATCTAACTGCGAACGAATTGGGGTGTGAGTGAGTCTCAGTAGTACGAGCGCGTCTCTGTGCATGAGCCTGGGGCCTCCTGGGGCCTCCTGAAACCTACTGGGGTTTCCTGGGGCCTCCAGGGGCCTCTTGGGGCCTCCTGGGGCCTCCTAGGACCTCCCAGAGAGGCTTCGCGCCCCAGGAGAAGCCCAATATATAGCAACCGGCGTACATGAAACATTGCGGGTTGGAACCATAAGAAAAAAAGGGCAATCTATAGGAACACGCGTAAAACACCACGGACTAGTGCCTCATGAAAGGCCCTTTACGTAAAACACATGGGATTGGAACCCCTCCTGTCGCCTTGTGAGGCCTCCTGCTCCTGGGGCCTGTCGGAGCCTCCTGTTGCCTTCCGAAGTCTGCTGGCGTTTCCTGTGGTCTCCTGGGGATTCCTGTGGCTTCCTGAGGTTTCCTGGAGCTTCCTGGGGCATCCTGGAGCCTTTTGGGACATCTTGTGGCCTCTTGAATCTTTCTATGGCCTCCTGATGCCTCCTGGGGCCTCATGTGGTCCCCAAGGACCTCCTGGAGCCTGTTGGAGCATCCCGTGGCATCCTGAAGAGAACCTGTGCCCACGAGTCTGGCCACCAAAACTGGCAAACCGAACGAGACATCCTCAAAATCTGGCCCACCTGGGGGGTGAAAATGAACGCCTCGCTCGAGACATCCTCCAAATCTGCTCCAACAACGAAAAATGCTGTGACCGAAAACGAGCCAGCCGCTTGAGACATCCCCACAAAACGGCCGCGAACGGGACCGTGTCATACCCCTCGGCGGCTCCCTTTAGGGGCGTGAAAATGAACGCCTCGCTCGAGTCATCCTCCAAATCTGCTCCGAAATCGAAGGGTGTTGGGACAGAAAACAAGCAAACCGCTTGAGACATCCCCACAAAACGGCCGCGAACGGGACCGTGTCATACCCCTCGGCGGCTCCCCTAAGGGGCGTGAAAATGAGCGCCTCGCTCGAGACATCCTCCAAATCTACTCCGAAAGCGAAGGATGACGGGACAGAAAATTACTCCGACGGTAGGACCCCGCACGAGAACCTGTTTAGCTTACCCTTTGCCCTTTCCTCCTCCCCCTGGCGGACACCCTCTCCTCTCGCCCTCTGCGCTGCCCTCTATTCCTCCTTCTATTTATATTCCTCCTTTTCCTCCTCCTCCTCCTTCTCCTCCTCCTCCTCCTCCTCCTCTCGCGCCACCTCCACCTCGTCGTCGCCCTCCCCCATGCCCCTTCCCTCCTCATCCTCCTGCCTCTTCTCCATGTGCACCTCCCGTTCCCCCTGGTCGTGGCAAGCAACTCGATTTTCCTCGGCGCCGTCGCCGCGCCGGCCAGCGCGCGCGCGTTTGCCGACGGCTAGGTCGCGAAGCCGTCGGGGCAACCCTTCGGGCCAGGCCGTTGGGGCAACCTCGCAGGCCGCAGGGGCGCGGGGGCCAGCCGTCGGGGCAACCCCGCGGGCCTCCAGGCGCGCGCCGCGGCGCTCAGGCGGGCGGCAGCACGAAGCCCAGCTCTGCCGCGAGCTGCTCCGCCTCAGCCCTGGGGCCCGCCGCTCTCTGGTCAAACTCTGTAGCGCCTTCCGCGGGGGCGCCGGCGGCCCGCGCTCCAGGAACTCTCGCGCGGGCGGCCGCAGGATCAGCACGTTCCGCACGCGCGTGGCGCGGGGGAACATGACGTAGAGGTGCAGCCCCCACATCTCGTCCTACATGCCCGTGCGGCCAGCGTCCTCATCCCTGGCGCAGTCGATGGTGACGCCCTTGCGCAGCGTCTGGCCCTGCGACAGGGTGGAGGTCAGGTAGGACGCATGCGTCAGGGTGAACCCCGAGCGGCGCACAGTGTGCGCCCCCGGGCTGCCACGTGAACTCCTGCTCGCTGGGCCTGAACATGAGCAAGCTCCTCGCCCGCGCCTTTGCCTCGCCGTCGTCGCCAGCGCCATCGGCGCGCTGCTTCAGCACCTCGGCGACCTCCTTGTAGATCGGGGACTCCTGGAAGCCGTGCACCTGCAACCAGATTCCCTGCGGTAGGTAGCGGGGGCGGCAGAGCTGGCCCGGCGCGCACTCCTCGTAGTCCCGCTCGTCGTCTGCGTGAAACTCGAAGGACACGATGGTGGCCGGTTGCTCCTGCACGAGCCCCAACTTCTTCTTCAGCTCCATATTCACAAGAAGAGTCCGAACCGAACTGGTAACCGTGAACCGGCGGCTCCCGCAACCGAACCGCCCGAACCGGAGCCCGAACCGGCCCGGCTGAAACCGGACCGGGCGGTTCGAACCGAACCGGCCGGTCGAAACCGGCCCGAACGGCAAGCCCGAACCGGGTGGAACCGAACCGGGCCCCGGGACTCCCCACCGGCCCAAGAAAGCCCCCATAAAGCCCCGGTGCCGGCCCCCCCCCCCCGGTGCCGGCACCCCCCCCCCGGTGCCGGCACCCCCCCCCCCGGGCCCACCCCCCCCCCCCCCCCCCGGTGGCCCCCCCCCCCCCACCCCCCCCCCCCGGCCCCCCCCCCCCCGGTGCCCGCCCCCCCCCCCCCGGTGCGGCACCCCCCCCCCCCCCCCCCCCCCCCCCGGTGCCGCCACCCCCCCCCCCCGGTGCCGCACCCCCCCCCCCGGTGCCGGCAACCCCCCCCCCCCGGTGCCGGCACCCCCCCCCCGGTGCCGGCACCCCCCCCCCCCGGTGCCGGCACCCCCCCCCCCCCCGGTGCCGGCACCCCCACCCCCCCCCGGTGCCGGCACCCCCCCCCCGTGCCCCCCCCGTGCCCTCCAGCCCAAAACCGGCCCCCCCAAAACCGGCCGTCCCGCGACCGCCGAACCGAACCGGCATAACCGACCCGGACTGGCAAAACCGGACCGACCAAAACCGGATCGGCGCCGAAATCGAATCGCTGCAACCGAACCGGTCCGCCGCCAAACCGGCCCGAACCGGCCCGAACCGGACACTTCCTGTATTCAAGCCTCAAGAGCCCAAAAGTGACGACGGTTACACGTTTCGGATGACCCGCTCGGATTACCAACATGAAATGCGGGCCCCATAGGGAGGGGGCCCCCGCCTGAGACTTCCTCGCAATTCACTCACAGACGAGACTCCCGCCTGATACTTCCTCCATATTCAGGCCTCACGAGCCCAAAAGTGACGACGGTTACACGTTTCGGATGACCCTCTCGGATTACCAACATGAAATGCGGGCCCCATATGGAGGGGGCTCCCGCCTGAGACTTCCTCGCAATGCACTCACAGACGAGACTCCCGCCTGATACTTCCTCCATATTCAGGCCTCACGAGCCCAAAAGTGACGACGGTTACACGTTTCGGATGACCCGCTCGGATTACCGACATGAAATGTTCGCCCTATAGGGAGGGGGCTCCCGCCTGAGACTTCCTCGCAATTCACTCACCGACGAGGCTCCCGCCTGATACTTCCTCCATATTCAGGCCTCAAGTCAGCGAGTAGTGATGATGATGATGATGATGATGATGATGATGATGATGACGATGATGATGATCGTTCGATGCCGATGATGGTGAGTGATCGTTGGATGGTGATGGTGATGCTAATGGTGATGATGATGATGATGAGTGGGGAGTGATGGCGATGGTGATGATGATGCGGAGGAGGAAGCAAAGAGGAGCAGAGGAGAGGGAGGAGGAGGAGGAGATCCTGCGCGGAGGGTGCGCAGAGAAAACAAAAACCCACTTAGGATGTGGGGAACAAGCAAACCGCTTGAGACATCCCCACAAACGGCCGCGAACGGGACCGTGTCATACCCCTCGGCGGCTCCCCTCAGGGGCGTGAACATGAGCGCCTCGCTCGACGCATCCTCCAAATCTGCCCCGAAAGCGAAGGATGTTGGGACAGAAAACAAGCAAACCGCTTGAGACATCCCCTCAAAAGGGCCGCGAACGGGGCCGTGTCATACCCCTCGGCGGCTCCCCTTAGGGGTGCTGAAACCAGCACCCAGCCTGAGACATCCTCACGATCTGCTGTGTGTAGAGTAAGTCAGACAATGAGAAGGCCTGAGTATGAATAAATCTGGGTACGACTAAGTCTCACCATGAGTAAGTCTGAGTCTGAGTCGGTCTGAGAATGAGTAGGTCTGAGGATGAGTAAGTCTGAGTATGCGTAAGTCTGCGCATGAACAAGTCTGGGTATGAGGAGGAGGAGGAGGAGAAGAAGAGGAATGAGTAAGAGGCGCCCAAGAAATAACAAGAACCCCATCTCAGGATATGGGGAACAACAATTGGTTCCCAATAGAAAACTAATTAAAACAATTGGGTACCAATAGAAAACTAATTAGAACAATTGGTTTCCAATTTAAAAAAACGAATCTTGCAGAGAGGGGCCGCGCGGCTTGACCTTGCGCGTTTTTTTACGCGGCACTGCGCGGGCATTTACGCAGGGGCTGTTCTCAAGACGGCTGTGCCCGTAGTTAGTGATAGGGCCACGACTCCTCAGGAACGGCCGCGTGGCCTGACCTTGCGCGATTCTTACGCGGCGTCACGCAAGCATTCGCGCAGGGTTCTGCTCTCAGGACGATGCCCGTTCCTCTTTTTATACAAGGGCAAAGACATATCTTATGTCGTGCTGCTGCCCAGGCACGAAGTGCAAGTCCCATGGCGGCTCACAAGAAATGTGATAGATCGCCCGGCGGGTCCCACACCCAGCCTTGGTCGTAGAGGTCGTCCGTGCACCCTCGACTGGCCTTGTCCACCGGGTTGTCGTGGGTATTGACATACTCGACCCACAAATGCAGTCGTCGCCGGTGGACAATCTTCCACGTGCCGTGCATCACGTTGTTCAGATCTGCGCTCACGCTGTTGCCTTTGATCAGCGCGTGCATGGCGTCCGTGTTGTCTATGAAGTGGATCCAGAGTCGATGCTCCAGGCCTGGCCACGTGGCTAAGGCAAGCAGTGGCCCCACACCCTCGATTGGAGCTATGGTGTTGGAGGCACGCTGCGCCCACTTCGCCAGCGCGTTCTCTGGGGCCCTCGTCGCCGAGATGCGGGGGCGTTCGGCTGGCTCTGCTGGTTGCCACATTGCCACGGCGACGTTGCCCGAACCCTCACCGTCGCTGATGGTGACGACCAGGGGCAAGCAGGATATGTCGCACAGAACACGGCTCCGATTGTCATGGACGAGTGCTCCTTCGAGCCACCTGAACATGGCGAGCATGGCGCTGTTGACTCCGAAGAAGTTTCCGCTCCTCTGACGGGCTCGCAGCGGCGCCAGCACTGCTGCTCCACACCGGCCCCAGAGGCTCGAGCGCGCCCAGTTGAACGAGCCGTGCAGCGTCGAGGCGTCCGCTGCTGTCACCCCCCCTGTAGCTCGGTGGGCGCGGATCTGAGATAGCAGCTTGTCAATTTTGGCCTCGCAGAGCCAAGCTGTCGCCTCAAGGCCCAACCGGTGCTCCACGCCAAGTAGGCGAAGGTGCTCACAGGGCGGTTTGCTCTTGCTTTTGTCGTACCTCCAGCCGATGAGGCCCATTATCTCCAACACGAGAGCATGGGAGTGTTTGGCGGCATGTTCCGGCTCAGTGTCCCGCATGTCACCAGAGTAATGGCAAAGCAAAATGCCCAAGCACACTCTTCACGAAATAACATATGAAATGTGGATGTTCGACGAAGTTCGTCTGGGCAGCTTTGTTGCCGAAAGTCCCTCCCAGCGGCCTCGCCCACTGGACCCGCTCAAGTTGGGGATCCCACACCAGTTCGTAATGGTCTGGGGCATGACCTGGCCACAGCGGGTCTTGCCGGAACGCCATCTCCCAGTCGATGCGGAAGCCTTGGAGGCGCGCGTTGTTGGGGGGGGCATCTCTGAGGATGCGCACCACCGCGTGTGCCGATGATAAATCTTCAGGAGAATACTTCTCGCACAGCGTGGCGGCGTCGTTTCCCCCAGATGCTTTCCAATCAGAAATGTTACGACACTTCCACGCGCCGTCCTCCTTGAGCTCCCACTTGGGCCACCGGGGAGTCAGGCATGTCCTATCCAGGTCAAGTTCTGCAAGCTCGCCTGACCCTTCGCAGAACCCCATCGAAAGCTCAACTAGGGTTTTTTCCCACGCCTTCTGGTCGAGCGAAATGCCCCCCGAACTTCGCGTGCCTCGGATCATGCGTTCGTTCCGCTCTCGCGGACACGCAATCCAATCTTCGATCGTAATCGCGCCCCTGTTGTGGTCCTCGGTGAACACGCCGCTCGGCGGGATCTCTCCCAAGCAAGGCTCGCCGCGCATCAGCTGGGCGACGTAATCGGTGCCGCTGTACTTGGCGTGATCCACCGTCCACTCCAGGAGGGGTAAATGCCGGTGGGCGATTACTTTGTGGACGTCGGGGTGTAGCTTTTCGGCATACTGCTCTCTGATGCCTGTCAGGCGCCTAGCAGCATCGCGGACGGGCTGCATCTGCGTCTCTCGCCAGCTGTGTAAATCATCCAGGTGGTCCAACATACTGCTGGCGGCCTGCGCCAAGTGGCAGGCATCGGCGGGGGAGCAACAGCCGGGTGCTGCAGACGAGGCAATTGCTCGAGGAACGCCTCGGGTCCGCATCCTTGCTGGATAAGCGGCTCGAAGCATCTGCCACGCGGCTGCTCGCCAAGCACCGGCGCGCGCCCGATCCGGGCCCTCAGTCGGCGCCTGCTGGGCTGCTCAACGACGCCTGCCTGCGGGCTGTCGCTGACCGTTCCCTGCATGCGGGCCCCGGCACCTTGCGCGGAATGTTTCCGGCCTGGGTGATCACAGAGGCTGTCATTAGACTCCGCGCATGGGCTGGGCAAGTCTGGCCCGCCCGCCGCGGCCCCATTGTAGTGTCTGGGGCCGGGCTCCGCAGTTCACTGCAGGCCCGCGCGGTGGTTTTTGGCCCTGCAATGTTTGGCGCCGCGCCCAGGGTATAGTCACGCTCGTGTGAGTCTGGGCACGCCGCGCCCTTGCGGCAGCCCGTGGCCTTGGTTGTGTCTGCCCGGTCTTCTTGTTCGTGCGCTCCAGTCCCAGCCAGTTCTCCTGGGGTGAGAGCTGGGGGCAGGCTGGCCCCGGCGGCGCCGCCTGGCTTTGAAGCCTTGCGCGGCTGCTCGTCTCGGGGGGTCTGGGCGCCCTGGCCGCGGCCGCGGGCGCGCCCTCGCGGTTGCGACTCGCTCCTGGGCCGCTTCCTGTCCCCGGCGTCTGAGAACAGGTAGGCACTCTGGCCACGGTGGTGGGTAATCACGTCCTTGGAAGTCGTGAACTCCCTCCGCTGCCAACTCAATATCCACTTGGTGCGCATGCGGAAGTCGGCCTTGAGGAAATCGCGCACGATCTCCGGCGACCACTTGACGTCCATGATCTTCTCCATGAGCCACTGGTGGTACTCGAGCAGGACGGTGAGCGACGCGTTCTCGAACTCGGGGGCGGCCGCCTGGTTGTAGGCGATCATCAGCTGGAAGTGCCGTTCCCGGAACTTGGTCAAGCCCTGAACCGGCGCGTAGGCGCTCTCGGCTTGGGCCTGCACCCCGCCCTGCTTGGAGAAAAACATCTTGAACAGCGGGTCGACCTCCTTCTCGAAGATGCTCTTGACGTCCACCTCGAGGCGGGGGGCGAAGTCCGCGTGTTTCTCGTGCATCCGCTCGAGCTTGCCCATGAGCCCGTTGGCCGGGAGCCACTGCGCAGGCCAGACGAAGTGGTAGTACTCCTTTACCTGCGCATCCAAGCGTTCGCGCTGCTCTGTGCCCAGGGATATGTCCTTCTCGGCGCTGTCGCCTTTGGCTGCGGCCTCCAGCTCGGCCTTCGTCTCGGCCTCCGCCTGCCGCCGCGCCGACTTCAATGGCTGGCGCGCGATGCTGTCGTTGGGGTCTAATCCCGCTGGTTGGCCGACGACTTGCGCGATGTTGGACTTTGAATCCGCCAAGTCGGCGAAGGCGCCGAGCTTGACGATGTTCTTGTCCACGAGAAACTTGGCGACGTTCTCGGGGACGTCGTCGTCCGCCAGCACGTCGCGCAGCTCGGTGGACAAGGCCTTGGCGACCTCTGCGCTGTAGGAGACCGGCATCGCCCCAGTGGGGTGGGGGGCAGACGGGGCCCTGGCTGCAGCTCGCGGCGTTCGCTCTTGAGCCTGTGCTGTGTGACGCTTGCCCATGCCCCTCCCTGCTGCCGTTGCGCGTTGGACGCGCTGGCCAGGCGTGCCCGGCGTATAATTACTGCTTCAACGACACACTGGAAGGAAAGCACGCACAGCAACATATCGAGCGCCAGTCGCCCCTCGCACCGCCGGCGGAAACTCTCATCGGGAGGGCGGATCGACGCTGAAGGTCGCTGCTGCTCGGGAAGAGGGGGCATCCTGGTCAGCTTTGGGATCTGCGTCCAGTTGTGGCAACAGTGCGCCTCAGGGAGGCGCAAACAGGCCAGGCTCCAGCCGGGCTCCTCCCTTCACTTTTTACTATATTGCGAGCAGCGGTTCCCCCTCGTGGCGCTGGCGAGTATCCGCGCGAACCTTCGCTGCAAGCTACTGTTGCCCCTGTGAGGGGGCATGTCTCTGATCAGTTTTAAGATCTGCGTCCAGCTGCGGCAACAAGGCGCCTCTGGGAGGCAAAGCGAGCCAGGCGTGATGCAGATTTTGTTTGTTGTTGCTTCCTCTTTTTTCTCCTTTGATATCCATAAAAAAAATATCGAGCGCCACGCGCCCCTCGCACCGCTGGCGGAATCTCTCTCTCTCACGGGAAGACTGATCGGCGCCGCAGCTTGTCGTTGCCCGGAGGGGGGCGCATCCTGCTCAGCTTTAAGGTCTGCGTCCAGCTGTGGCAACAGCGCGCCTCAGGGAGGCGCAAACAGGCCAGGTTTCAGCCGGGCTCCTCCTTTCATTTTCTCGAGCGACGGTCTTCCCTCGCGGCGCTGCCGGAGTGTCCGTGCGAACCGTCGTTGGGGGCCATCGTTGCCCCTATAAGGGAGCATGTCTCTGATCAGCATTAAGATCTGCGTCCAGCGGTGGCGACGAGACGCCTCTGGGAGGCTCAAGAGGGCCCGGCTTGAGCCACGCTCCTCCTTTTTACTCATAATTTCAAATGTCATATTGCACGAGATGACTCAGTTTTTTTCTGTTCCTTCCTCCCTTCTCGATCGCCGCCTGGTCATCGCCGCGCGGGCGCGCTGGATCTTGGCTGCGTGGAATCATGGGTCTGGCTGCGCTGTCGTGCTCGACCCAGACGAGCTCCTGGAAGAGCTGCCGCTGGTGGATCCGGCACTGCTGCGCGCTGAGCGCGGCGCGCCCAAGTCTGCCCATTCTGGTGTCTCCGCGCTGCTGGTCCTGAAACACCTGTCGCAGCGCGGGCACAGATGCAAATTTGATTGGTCCTCCGCCGTTGGTTCGTAGTGAGGTAAGGTTGGATCTCGTACCTGTTTGCACGGCGGGTCCTTGTGCAGCATGCCTGTCTTGTGGTTGATCAGCGCGCGGGCCAGCGGCAGCTCTGGCGGTTGCGGAGCCTGGGCTCTGGGTGCGTGAGCCGCTGCCCGCTGCTTTGCTGCGCGCGCTCTCGCCCTCAGCTCTGTCGCCACCGCGTCTACCGTCGGCAACCCGTAGTCGCCGCCTGGGCGGAGGCCGCCCCGAAGTTTTTGCCGCGCTCGTTCCTTTGCAGCAAGCTCGGCGCAGCAGCGGCTCTGGTCGTAGCGGATGGGCATGCCGCTCGCGGGGCCCCATCGGCCCACGCTGCGCCTCTCTTCGAGAGCGAAGCCGGCGTGGCCTGCTACGCCGCAAATGCAGAAACGTGGGCTGTGCAGCGTGTAGTGGGCTGTGTGCCCTGTCAGGCGGTGCACGGCTGCCATCGCCATCAGGCAGTTGGCGTAGCTACCGTGGCGCACAGGGGTGACGAACTCCAAGGCGCCGTTCGCTAACGCCATCGACGGCCAGAGCCAGTCCCTCGCGGCGTCTGCGCTTTGCGGGAGGATCCCGTTGACATGGCTGAAGAAACGCCTGCCGTAGTCAACGCCGGTCCAAGTCACCCGCAAAGCGGCCCAGGGCACCGGCGCAGGTTTGCCTTTCGAGCGCCAACACACAGCGTGCAGCGCGTCACGCCCGAGGCCGACGCCCGTGCTCCTGCCCAGGTCGCTGAACCGCAGGCACGCGAAGGCCAGACACAACAGGAACAGGATGGTGTAGGCGGTCGCGCCCTGGTCGTCTTCGCGCGCGCTCAGCAGGGCCAGCAGGTCCACCGCGGTCTGGTATGTGTACGGCGTCGCCTGTAAGCGGGCTGCGCTTGCATCTCTGGATGACATTTTGGCAACGGCCTGCACGGCTGCGTCTTGCAGCGCCCACGGGAGCACCAAGGCAGTGTGTACCCTGTCCAAGCCGTTTAGGAGCATGCGCGGGGCGCTGTTCCGACCGACGCTTGAATCTCGTAGAAAACATGTTATTTCTAGCGGCGTGAGTTTCCAGGGGTCTAGGCCTTTGCTTTCAGACCAGCTCCTGAGGCGGCAGACGGCCCGAATGTGCCCCATAAGTGTAGAAGGAACTTTGGCCTTTTGTAGAAACAACATCCTCAGTAGGCTGCGTTGCTCGGCCTCTGGAAGCACGCTTTCTTTGATCTGCCGTAATCTGGCTGACGCCATGCCGATGTCGTCGGCTAGGGCAAAAGCGAGCTGCAGCGCGTTTTCCAGCTTGCTCTTTTCCACGTCTGCTGCGGAAACAGAGAACGGCACCGCTGCTGGAATGGCTCGGCGCCGCTTGCCTGGTCTCGGAAGCACGGTGCTTATTTCCGCCCATTTGGTCGTTCTCGTCGTGGGAGTTTCCCTTGGGGGCGGAGAGTGTTTCCGTGCTATGTATGCGATCCGGGCCAAGGCGGCTACGATGCTGTCGGCCTCGGCGCTGGCTGTTTGCCACAGCTCTGACGCGTGCACGTGCAGCTCCTCGTCGAAGAGGCCTGTCGCTGTAGTCATGAAGTCCTCCTCGCTGTCCCAGAAAACGGTTGCCGTCAGGATGCTGCACATGTGTAGCGCCGTAGCCATGCGGGCAACAGTGTTCGGGTGAGTTCCCCGCTTTGCAGCCACAGTGTGTACCACCCGACTCATGCGAGGCGATAGTGCTCCCAGGCACTCAGGCGCATCCTCGCTCGCCATTGTCGTAGAGGCGGTGCTGTGGGCGGTGGTGGGCACAAAGCCGCCGTGCTCGCTAGAGGCTCGAGGCCTTGAGGCTCGCGTTCGAGCCACGCCTGAGCACAAATAGCTACGGAAAGGCAGCGGGTGCAGCCGGCCAGCCGGCACTGTCTGTCATTGCAGTGGAGCCTCGGATCTCGTCTGCCTGACCCTACGCGGTTGCTTACACATCCCCAGCGGGCATTTGCGCGAGGGCGTGGGGTTCGCGCTGCCTGGCAGGGGGCATCTAAGATCCTTGCGTAGAGCTCCCCCCCGGCCTCTCGAAGATTCATCCCTCCCAAGCCGTCCCATCCAACCATAGTGGTAGGGTCACGAATATTGCGGAGAGGGGCCGCGTGGTTTGACCTTACGCGTTTTTTACGCGGCACTGCGCGGGCATTTACGCAGGGTGCTGTTCTCAAGACGGCTGTGCCCGTAGTTAGTGATAGGGCTACGACTCCTCAGGAACGGCCGTGTGACCTGACCTTACGCGATTCTTACGCGGCGTTACGCAAGCATTCGCGCAGGGTTCTGCTCTCAGGACGATGCCCGTTCCTCTTTTTATACAAGGGCAAAGACATATCTTCTGTCGTGCTGCTGCCCAGGGACGAAGTGCAGGTCCCAAGTTACAGCCCACTCACTTCGTCCCAAGTTCGCTCCTATGAGTGGGGCGGGCCACATTGTGGTCCTGTTTCCCCTCTCCCCCCGGGTCACATAGTGGTCCCATGGTGGGGGTGGGCCACATCATGGTCCCAGTGGGGCATGCTGATTTCATTCTCCCTGCCAAAGCCACATAGTGGTCCCCCGGCGGGTTGGGCCACATCGTGGTCCCAGTGTCCGGGCCACATAGTGGTCCCGTGCGGGTTGGGCGACATCGTGGTCCCCGTGGTTTTCCTTGGTGTGCCGTTTTGGCTGGTGGGTCGCATCGCGATCCCATGGTGTGCCGTTTTGGCTGGTGGGTCGCATCGCGATCCCATGGTGTGCCGTTTTGGCTGGTGGGTCGCGTCGCGATCCCATGGTGTGCCGTTTTGGCTGGTGTGTCGCATCACGATCCCACGGTGTGCCGTTTTGGCTGGTGGGTCGCATCGCAATCTCACTGCGTGTTCGTCAGAAAGCCGCCGTGCTCGCTAGAGGCTCGAGGCCTTGAGGCTCGCGTTCGAGCCACGCCTGAGCACAAATAGCTACGTACGGAAAGGCAGCGGGTGCAGCCGGCCAGCCGGCACTGTCTGTCATTACAGTGGAGCCTCGGATCTCGTCTGCCTGACCCTACGCGGTTGCTTACACATCCCCAGCGGGCATTTGCGCGAGGGCGTGGGGTTCGCGCTGCCTGGCAGGGGGCATCTAAGATCCTTGCGTAGAGCTCCCCCCCGGCCTCTCGAAGACTCATCCCTCCCAAGCCGTCCCCTCCAACCATAGTGGTAGGGTCACGAATATTGCGGAGAGGGGCCGCGTGGCTTGACCTTACGCGTTTTTTACGCGGCACTGCGCGGGCATTTACGCAGGGTGCTGTTCTCAAGACGGCTGTGCCCGTAGTTAGTGATAGGGCTACGACTCCTCAAGAACGGCCGTGTGACCTGACCTTACGCGATTATTACGCGGCGTTACGCAAGCATTCGCGCAGGGCTCTGCTCTCAGGACGATGCCCGTTCCTCTTTTTATACAAGGGCAAAGACATATCTTCTGTCGTGCTGCTGCCCAGGGACGAAGTGCAGGTCCCAAGTTACAGCCCACTCACTTCGTCCCAAGTTCGCTCCTATGAGTGGGGCGGGCCACATTGTGGTCCTGTTTCCCCTCTCCCCCCGGGTCACATAGTGGTCCCATGGTGGGGGTGGGCCACATCATGGTCCCAGTGGGGCATGCTGATTTCATTCTCCCTGCCAAAGCCACATAGTGGTCCCCCGGCGGGTTGGGCCACATCGTGGTCCCAGTGTCCGGGCCACATAGTGGTCCCGTGCGGGTTGGGCGACATCGTGGTCCCCGTGGTTTTCCTTGGTGTGCCGTTTTGGCTGGTGGGTCGCATCGCGATCGCATGGTGTGCCGTTTTGGCTGGTGGGTCGCATCGCGATCCCATGGTGTGCCGTTTTGGCTGGTGGGTCGCATCGCGATGCCATGGTGTGCCGTTTTGGCTGGTGGGTCGCATCACGATCCCACGGTGTGCCGTTTTGGCTGGTTGGTCGCATCGCAATCTCACTGCGTGTTCGTCAGAAAGCCGCCGTGCTCGCTAGAGGCTCGAGGCCTTGAGGCTCGCGTTCGAGCCACGCCTGAGCACAAATAGCTACGGAAAGGCAGCGGGTGCAGCCGGCCAGCCGGCACTGTCTGTCATTACAGTGGAGCCTCGGATCTCGTCTGCCTGACCCTACGCGGTTGCTTACACATCCCCAGCGGGCATTTGCGCGAGGGCGTGGGGTTCGCGCTGCCTGGCAGACGGCATCTAAGATCCTTGCGTAGAGCTCCCCCCCGGCCTCTCGAAGATTCATCCCTCCCAAGCCTTCCCCTCCAACCATAGTGGTAGGGTCACTAATTTAAACAATTGGTTTCCAACAGAAAACAAAGAAACCCCAACCCAAACCCAAACCCAAACCTCAACGGCCATAAGTCAGGTGTGACCCTAGTAGTAGTAGTAGTAGTAGTAGTAGTAGTAGTAGTAGTAGTAGTAGTAGTAGTAGTAGTGGTAGTAGTAGTGGTAGTAGTAGTAGTAGTAGTGGCAGTAGTAGTAGTAGTAGTAGTAGTAGTAGTAGTAGTAGTAGTAGTAGTAGTAGTCGTAGTAGTAGTAGTACTAGTAGTAGTAGTAGTAGTAGTAGAACAGGTGGTAGTAGAAGTAGCAGTAGCAATAGCAGTCGTAGGAGTAGTCGTAGTAGTGCTTGTAAAAAACTGAATAATAGAGGGACTATGAGTAGTAGTGGTAATACCAATCGTGTTCGTGCCAGAATTATCGGTAGTAGTAGTCGTAGTAGTCGTAGTAGTAGTAGTAGTAGTAGTAATAGTAGTAGTAGTAGTAATAGTACAAGTAGAACTAGTTGTAGTACTGGTAGTAATAGTAGTAGTAGTAGGAGTAGTAGTAGTAGTCGTCGTAGTAGGAGTAATAATAATAAGAATCGTAGTAGTAGTAGCAGTAGTAGTAGCCGTCGTAGTGGTAGTAGTGGTGGTGGGAGTAGTAGCATGAGTAGCAGTAGTCAGTAGTAGTAATCGTATCAGTAGCACAAGGAATAAACACGATTGCTACTGGCAGCACTCGTAGTCGTAGTCGTACACGTAGTCGTAATAGGCCGTGGTAGTAGTAGTAGTAGTAGTAGTGGGAGTAGTACAACACCCAAATGTAGAAGTAATATGGTGATAAGTGTGGTACTAGTAGTGGTCGTAGTAGAAGTCGGAGGAGTAGTAGTAATAGTCGTAGTAGTAGGAGTAGTAGTAGTGGTACTAGTAGTAGTAATCGTAGTAGTAGTATCAGTAGTAGTAGTAGTAGTAGTAGTAGTCACAGGATCCGGTAAATTGGTGATGGTCCTGGTGGTATTGGTACTCGTAGTAGCAATGATAAGTACCTACAAAATTGTAAAGTGTAGTGGTAATGACGATCGTATAGTATTAGTAGTCGTAGAAATAGTAGTAGTAGTAGTAGTAGTAGTAGTAGTAGTAGTAATAGTAGTAGTAGTAGTAGTAGTAGTAGTAGGAGTAGTAGTAGTAGTACTGGTGGTGGTAGTAATAATAATACTGGTAGTCGGCGTCGTAGCAGTGGTAATCGTACCAATGGTAGTAATGGTCGTAATAATAAAGTAGTGCCAGTAGTAGCAAACGGAGTAGTACTAGTAGTAATAATAATAATGCTCGTAGTAGTAGTAGTAGTCGTAGTAGTGGTAGTAGTGGTAGTAGTGGTAGTAGTAGTAGTAGCAGTAGTAGTAGTAGTAGTAGTAATACTTGTAGTAGCAGTAGTGGTAGTGGTGGTAGTAGTAGTAGTAGTAGTAATCGCCACAACAGTCGCAGGACTCGTGGTAATCGTAGTAGTAATAGTCGTAGTAGTAGTAGTAGTAGTAGTAGTAGTAGTAGTACTGGTAATAGTAATAGTAGTAGTAGTAGTAGTAGTAGTAGTAGTAGTAGTAGTAGTAGTAGAAGTAGTAGAAATAGAAGTGATACTAATAGTAGTAGTCATAATAATAATAGTC